AGGCAGTTATAGAACAAAATAATCGTGGTATTATATTATATACCTATATATATATATATTTATGCCATACTATTACGTTCTTTTCAATTATCGTAACTTTCTTGTATATAGGTACTTCCATCCTGTATTATGCCACATGTGTCATCAGAAAAATAAATATTTGTTGACCACGGGAATCAATTCTACTACCCCTCTTTGCACTTCACTATTACACACACACAAAGGAATGGCAGATGTTCCGCCGTACTTTGTAGAACGATAGGGAAAAATCTTTAGGATAGAAACCGAGCAGTATATATGTAATATAAATATTATTGTTTGCGTTCAGATTACATATTGATCGCATATTATAATACATTATACACAGAGAGTATTATATAACTACCTCGAGTATACACTTATCACTTTCAAAATACGTACGGTCGATGTATTATCATATTTGTGTAATAAAATTCATATCGATCATTCACATTTATACATAATATTATAATAGTTACGCGCGTATAAATATATAATACCACCTACCCTTCTGGCGTGACGCAATATTATTTATTCTGTATTATTATGTTATATTGGTTCATAATTTATTATATATATTTTTATGCGCTTCAAAGGCGACGTCATTATAATATATGACTAATTCGATCAAAATATTAACAATAACACTTGTCATAATTGCGTACCTATGTTTCGCATCAACTCTTTATTCTTTAATAATGCCCGCCGTATATGTACGTATATTATATTATTATATACTTCACTCGTCGTTCCATGTGATGTACAACTATATTATAATATTATTAATAAAAATAAAAATAGAATTTAACAGCCGCGGCGCTAACATAACCTACACATCAAAAATTAATTTCATAATATATGCGACCAGGACGAGTGGATTTCTCAAGTTCAACGCGTTTAAATTGAAAAAACTTTATTAAAACCATCGATGATAATTTCAAGTCTTAAGAATCGACAGAGATAGCTGCAGATGATATGGTCAGACAGTTTTAAGCGTTTATAACCGTTCATAATGGGTTGGTCATCTTAACGACGATCAAATTAGACTATATAATATTATGATTTCGATTTATAAGGGCGTAAATCGCAGTTCTACAACATATTATGAGTATACCATCTATGTGCTATGTGTCTCGTAGCTGATTCATTCGAACGTGTTGGTTTCGTCAATTCCGTCAAAAAATACGTACACAAATAATTAAAAACTTTAATATGATGTTATATACAGTCGCTCAGAACTTCTATTTATATACGCGATTGTCAAGTATACACTATACCGTGTAAAACGCATTCGGGGGAAATAGTTATTGTTTCAAAAATATTTCCCGCCCTGTAAACTTTCGTTATAAATTACCGAGTCGTTTCATTGAGTTTATTAATGAGATAACCCAGACGTCTAGTTTTACCTATTATGCATGGTTTATGGTGATTCGATATTAATGACTTGGCAAGCTTAACTGCGATATCTGCATAATGAATTTATCGCATTTATATATAACTATGATAATTTTAATACATAATGTATTATATAGTCCACGCGTTTTAATACTCGTTTCTATAACGACAATTTAAACATTATATAATTATCACAACGTCTCAAAATTATCGTCGTTGGAATAACTTATACCTACCCATTACGATGTTTACTTACTACTTATCCGTATGTAGGTAGGTATTCGATTTATATACCATATAGATCTACGGATCCACCTTGGTGAACGCGTTGCATTTCCGCGGTGGTTGGAATTATAATATCGATTTGTTAAGTACCTACGTCATCGTATACGGTTTACATCCTGAAAAACCTATTTAATAATACAATCATATAGACCACAAATACCAGACAAAAATTGCGAGACCATACTTGTTCGTTGGGCGCGGTCTTGCAGGGTAAATGTTTACACCTCGAAGATACCGTTCACTATTCGTTGTGCACTTATATACTATAATATAATATATACATAGGTATATTGTGCGGTTTACAATAGAATCAAACCCTTTATTAGTATTATTATTATTATTATTCGGCATTCTGATTGACGAAATGACTCCTGCAATGATATAAAATTATTGGGGTAAATAAAAGATAACCATCCAGGAATCAAAGAAATCAAATAATTGTAATACTCATATATATCCACTTACTTACGTCAGTTATAGCTGATAAAAGAGAAAATATTTTTAATTAAATTGGTATGATGAGTTGAAAATACCAATAAATTGTAATCCTACACCGCCATACATTATTATTTCCGTACAAGCAAATTATTAAAAATCAAACTCGCAAAAGCCCGTAAAACTTCCCAGGACTGTTCACGTACAACTGCACAAATATACCGTTATATATGCTACACGACATATATATATATATTTATTTATTTATTTATTCACAATATAATACCACTGGTTTAAAACCATAGATGATTGTAACTGTAAGTATTAGAAAGGATATGGCCTTACATTCTACCTATGTATATTTAATCTTCGACACCGGATTTATGGCGTTTTTTCAAGGATAAGACAAAAAATGCAAAGCCTTGGATTGTACACATATGTATACATAACGGCTTACATACAGGTAGTGAGAGTATATGATTTATGTAATATAAAGCAGCTAGGGTTGATTTTGAAATATGTTTAATTATGTTTATTTTCTAAACACCATTAATATGAAACAGTCGTAGAATTCTTACGTTTTTCCGTCGTATACCTACGCGATGCTCGCTGCCGCTGCGGAAAGCGAAAACATGTAAACAGTGAATATAAATTACACCTGCCAAATGAGTGATGTAATTATTATTGTGAATTCCAGCCATTAAATGCTTGAGGTGGAAATACATTCTATCGTTTACTTAAGTAATAATAATTCGCACCCGTGATACGGCACGTAACACATTAAACAATTAATGAATAATGTATTGAGTAAGCATTATCTGTACTGCAAGGAAGTGATTGTAGCTATATCCACTTCAAACCGGCGTTTGTTTTGGCAACAGTAATAATAGTATCGCTATATAATATTATGGCACACGTTCCAATCAATCTGCATAAAGCGTAAAGCTGTAGGTACGTCGTTCGTAGCGTCGCGTGGCTTTTATTGCGCGTATACTGATTAACCGTGACAATCGTGTAAAATAATCATTCACTGCAAAGCACGAAGTTCAAAAATAATGTCCTCAATTGGAGGGGGAGTCGAACTCAACTTTTGGACGACAATAGACACTATAGGTAATACAGACAACATGGCTGCTATGAACCCGCCGCCTTGCTTGTAATTATCAAAAACAATGCGCACAGAACCGTGATACGTTTTCCATGCCCCTCCGGCTCCCCCCCCCCATCCACATTTGCGTAATTATGGGGGTGAGATGTTGGGGATGGATCCTTTTTCCAGGTCTTTAAAAAAGGATATACCTACTTATTTACATATCATATAAGCAAAAAAAAAAAGATTATTCAATATGATGTCTAGATATATAACGTGACGTGGTTTTTGGACTTAATATGTTTATCCAATAAACTCAGACCCGGATTAAGGCATAAGCAATGTTGGCTGAAGCCTATACAATCACAGATTTAGGGGCACTGCATAATATCCTAATGTTATTTTTATTAAAATATCGGAAATTTGAAATAGTAAAAATCAATGCGTTTTGTCGTGCGGTCTTCTTTTAAATTTTAAATTATCAATAAATGCGTTCTATTCTTAAATTGTTATCTCTCATAAGACACAGGAAAAATAGATTTTATTAAAAATTTAAATTATGCGATCATTGATACTCTTAAATGTCAACATAGTTCGAGAAGACAAACTTATAAAAAATATCAGATATTTATAGATGTACCTATACCCAGTACCCAAATTGTATAAATTACCTATAAAATACTGTGTTTTTTTTTTTTTTTTTTTATTGATCAAAAAAACATTGACCGTAAGGCCATTATTATATATACATTAATTATAGTATTAACATTTTAATATTTTTAACAAAATATAGACTTTAAATTATATCATATAATTCAGATTTTTTTAGAAATAAAATTAGGTTTCTTACATCAAGTGGGTTTGGACCTAGAGCTTGCCAGATTTGTTCAGAGATATGAAATTGGTTGCGGAAATGCTGGTATTTTAAACCGAGTTCTGCGGTTGTAAAAAACACATGTAAAACGTTGGTAAAATATTTTATTGATGATGTTGAAAACTCAAGTTTACTTATACCTAGATGAGTATATTCTTTTTTCAAAATTAATATCCACGGATAAAAGTGTAAAATCTGTTCTCTCTACATATAAGTACATCAAGACCAAAAAATTAGAGTGTATGTTTCCAAATTTAGAAATAGTTATGCGTATGTATATCTCAGTACAACAGTCTCAAACTGTTTAGACAAGAGGGCTTTTTTTGTTTTTAAAAATGTAAAATCTTATTTGATGTCAACCAGGCTGAATGCATTAGCAATATTTAGCATTGAAGCAAGAATTGGTTGGAAAATTGGATTTTAATGATACTATTAACAAATTTACCCATAAAAAAAAAAGAAAAAGAAAAGTATAAATAAAGGTTCATTATTTTTTTATATAATACGATTAATTTTATTTTTTATATATCAAAAATAAATTTTGTTTGATTTTACTTAACTTGTTTGCACATATATACATGGATCATGGATATAATATGGCTAATAAACCCAAGTATCGAGTAGAGTAATGATAGATTATTAATTATTGAAAAATTAAAAAACATCTATAATATATTTTTTAAATAGGGGCACCAAATTTTTTACGGCCTTCGGGCACTGTAGTCCTTAATCCAAGCCTGAATAAACTGTATATCCCCCCCTCCCAGAAAAACAAAATCATAACTACACCTGCACTGCTCACCTCCGATTAACAACAAAATTTCATTCGTAATATTATTGTTGATATTATTTGCCGATAGAAACAAACAAAAAAATTGATCGAAATCTTCATGTTTTTCGCAGGGCGTCGGGAGGTGCGAAACACGCGATGATGCAGCGACCGGCGGCGAATGGTGGTGACTGTGGCGACAACAACGTCGCCGACTGCGATTGGCCGATTAGCGAAAACGTGTTGCGATCGCTGTCCGAAGACGTACGGCCAACGCCCGTGGCCGCCCAGGAGGACGGTGACGACGCGGTGGCCTCCGACGTCCGACTGTGTTTAACCGAACCGGTTGCGCCGGCGGCCGAGACGATGCGGCGGCTACGGCTGCGACCGCTACTCCTGCGCCGGCGGTGGCCAGAGAACGATGGCGTTACGGCCGCAGCGGCCGAGTCCAGACCACAAGTGCGTCTGATGTCCGTGCCGTCGGCGTACCCGGCGGACGGCGAGTACTACGCGCCCGAAGCGGCGTACCTGTCGCGAACGGTGGAAGAACTGTCGTCGGGACCGTGGACGGAACGAGAACCGCCGGTCAACCGGTACGTGTACACCGCCGGCACCGTGCACTACGACCGCGAGACGGGCGCGTGCCACCTCCACGGGTTCGCCGACCCGCGGGCCCGGATATCCGTCGATTGCGCGCTGCTGACGGCCGTCCTGCCCCGGCACCGGGCCACCGTCAAGATGTACTCCACGCTCCGGCCGCCGCCCGCCGACGACCCTGGCCCACCCGCTCTGGTGCCGCACCATTTCCAAGAGTTCTCGCGCACCGCCCTGTTCCGCTGACGTGCGCAATATTATCGTGACGACGCGGGAACCCGTGGTGTTGTGTTCCGGTCCGCGAACTTGCGTTTATACTATCACCACGTCGTGTTATATTCCTCATTAATATTATTTTTTTGCCATTGAAAATACTTACTACGAAATAATATATATCATAACTTCATGTATACACATAATAGTGACTTGTGACTAATAATTTACTGTACGTTTCGTCCAATACGAAATATATGTTATAAACTATTATTTATAAATTAAATCGACCGAGTTATGAAAATCTATATACTACCCCCAATGTGCCCACTACAGTGCATAGAAAACGGATATAATGACATGTCGGTTAGTGTTAGGTCTAGTTCACGACGAGCGACAGCGATAAGTGATGGGTGACAAGGGATTTATTGAACTATATACACGTACGTTTAACCCGTACGGCGTGCATAGCCGTTGCTATACTCGTAGATTTACCGTGGGAGTGAGATAATACCACCGAAGCGCACTAGATTTACTGGTACTCAATGATTTTGAACTTGTTTAAGAGGACGCGTATTATATTATCTACGTCTTACAAACATACACGACTTGACAAATTTGCATCCAGTAAAACCGATGTTGTGTTGTTAGTTTTAATTAAAGAATTATTAATAATTATTACATTATCAAAGTTAAAACTTAAAGCATTATACATACTTAGCGATTATTTTCTTAAATAATATGTACATTTTTAATTAGTAGTATTCATTATACTAATATATTACATTGTTTGAAAATTAAAACATCGAACAAACCCAATGCTTAAGCAAAGATAATTTTCTTGTACTTTGAACTTGAATAATAAGTCAATTCACTCTAGTATTAAATCCAACATCATAAAATCGGTTCTACTAATCAAATTTACTGTGTTATAAAATGTTTGTAAGACGGAGACAACATATGCAGGTTTAGCGATCTCTTAATTAAATACTAAATATCACCCCGTTTATAAAATAAAAGAAAAAACAGAAAATTAATAATTTAACAATCTGTAAAACAATTTAACTTAAATTACAACTATTAAAAAAAAAAAAAAAGTGAAACAACATCTAAATTCACTACGTCATTTTTAATTTTTATACATTATACACTATTTCAATAATTAATAAAATACTACTCTATGTATTTTTGTGTTAAATTCATAGATCTTATACCTTATTAGGTCTTTGATTAAATATTAGTTGATATTGTATATTAGCACGTCATCAAATAAGGCGTGAACGTTTTTTACTTGTCTTTCAGCTTTTTATGACTGGTTTGTATTATCCTTGCAGGTTGTATGTTCCTTCCGTCTATGGTCTCATATTCAAAGTGTGTATGTGTATATATTCAGGTCAAGCAAATACTGTTTATTGTGAGGGTCAGCGGCGTGGGTTGTCGTCAAATATAAAAAGATATATCTACCACCCACAAACCGTGGACAAAATATGAGGATAATCATCTCCAGAAATAGGCTGTAACAGTGATGGGAATGAGCAAATTCGAGGGCGATGGGGGAGAGAGAGACAACACCGTCTTTTGTTTTCTCGAAGAATTTAAAAAATGTGTTTAGGTCGACCGTTTTCTACGTTATAGGTATATAATACATACATAATATATATGTATACTCAGTACGCGCATATACTAGGAATACTGTAATATAATATGTATACAATATACATGTACCTATTCCTGACGTGAATTTATTATTATACCACAGCACGTACATATACATAGTGTGGTTTGCGCACAACAACCGCGTAAATGCGATTATAATACAAAGGCTGAGCAAGGTTGAAGAGCGGGTGAAAGGGAGTGGAAAATTCTCAGTTTGACGATATTTTTTTCTAACCCTGCTGCCGCCGTCATCCGTTACCTACGAAACTTTGTTGTTAAGTGTACAGAAGTATCGTCGTTACCGTGTATGCTGACAAACGAATTTATTGTGGATACATAATATTACAATAATATGTGTATTGTGTGAAGGTATATACATCGCAATAGCCAATATTATATATTATAATGTATGGCTCATAAATAGGCAACAGCATATTGTCGTCTTTTACGCTTGTACACAAACATTGTATAGGTACCTACTTGTATATGGTGTTTTACTGTGTTTGAGAGTTTTCCGTACAAACTTTGATAATGTCCCCGCATATATTATTCATTGGAATCGTAAACCTATTTTGCGTTTCACGATTGTAGGCATTGCGGAAAAGCCAGTTTAATTCTAAACATATCACAATACTAAGGATAGGTACCGCGAGAATTGTTATTTCCCGAAACATCTCACAATTTCACACACAATGTTTTTGATTTTCTAAACTCTCATCGTCAAAATATCTCAAAAAGCATGATAAAGCATTTCTATAATATGTAAACAATTTTTGGGATACAGAGTCTCTTAGGAAAAATCTATTTTTCATTTAACAATTCAAGAACTTATCAATAAAGTGATAATTATATAAACCATACCGCTTATAGATCATTGAATGTTTCAACACCTCCCCAAAGCCCCCATCAGTCGTAAAAATATATGTTCTTTATGACTCAGATATCTACAAAATGTACTGTTAAATGGTTCTACTTCATATCTGATGTAATTAATGTGAAGATTGATGGCTATACAATGGAGAAAATATAAAGCTCCCCACATGTTATATTTCAATATAAAATTTAAATACTCCCAAAAATAAATCCTGATTAAGCACCTGATAAGACATGTTCATAAAATCACCAAATTCGAAAAACACTAAATAATTTTTCGACTAGATGCACTGTAACATGAAACAATTCTCAAAGTTCTTATAGAAAATTTAGAAATACTGTACTACACAACAATGAAGACTATACACACACATACAAAACATCAAAATATACATTGCAGGTACACAGCACAGCACACCAAAACTCTAAAGCATCACATTATATTATAATTGTTTCGTAGCTATGTACAATATACTCGTACTTCGTAAGTATCATATGTCCCACATACATTTTTTTCAATTTTTTCCTATAAATTCATTATTACATATATAAAAGTTGTATTCAAAACAAGCGTTTACAGACCCCGAGAGTCAAACTGTTCAAATTCATCTGCGTAACAAAAGTTTATACATAAATATAATTAATATATTATACTTATACCTATGCACATGTATACACATATGACATTATTATATAAGTACTAGTCTACACATTACTTCTTCTTAAATGATCGGCCATTTACTATAAAACTTTTTTATCAAATTTAGTTCACCACTAGTATATAATACTAATTAACATGGGCGTAGGTAAGGGGGTTGGGTGTTCAAACATCCCCCGAAATTAAAGATTAAACTGAATAAATAATTCATATTTAATTTTTATGTTTTATAATATTAATATAGACCTAGACCAAAACCCCATTCTACCTACACCCATGTTTATTAATTAATATAGGTAATTATATTTAAGTTTTGTAATATTATATAGAAGATTTATTACAATATGCTATTGATATTATTATTTGTAATAAAATAAATTTTTTTATTGTAATTGTTATTGTCATTACCTGGCTTTTTTCCTCCTAAAATAGAGCCATAGTTTAAAACAAATGTTTATACTTTATATCATTGATGTTTGCGCGTATTAATATTTTTTTACTCGCAACTCTAACTCGTTTGTGCATACTGAAAATTTTAATTTCTAATAATAGAATTTCTTTTATAGTATTATATTATTGTTAGTAATCTACATTTAGTATACAGAAAATGGTGCAATAACTAGGTAATTAAAAAAATATCAGTATGGAATTTATTTTTGTAATCTTTTTAATACACGTCGAAGTAAAAGGTGTATTAATATAGAAAATTTCAAGTTTAATAATTTCAAACTTTAAAACCTAATAATATAAAATTTGTCCACATTTTAAAAAGAGATTGTATTTAAAAAGATACTATACAAAGGAGCATAACCAAGCTCCTATTTGATATATAAATCAGAACCCTAGATATATAATATAACCTTCACATTAATGTCAATATCAGAAAGCTTAATACAAATAAAAAATGCTCCATGAGTGTTTTAGTTAATAAATAGAAACTTGATATGATTTTGCAGTTTTTCAATACATTTATATTTATATGAACATTATTTTTGTAAATATTTTTTATCAAGATTAAAATCTTAAAAAAAAATTTCAACTTTAAAACTTTAACTAACAAATAACATCGTGGTTATTTGCTCAAATTTTTAAAACAATATTTAGTTATTACTTACTTAATACTTTACTGTTTACATTTATTTTAAACTATATATGTACTTTATCAGCGATTCTAGAAAAGTATTTTTAAACAAATATATAAAGCTATATAGATAGAAGTAGATACATAAATTAAGATAATAATTGGTACATTTTCGAGTATTGTTATAACGTTTTGGTTCGAATTTTTATTTTATCCCAAACACTCAACAAAGGTTAATTACAAAAAGGTAATTTTTATTAAAACTCACTTCAGATCGATTGAAAAAAAATTCCAAGTATGAACTGGATAACTTACAACACTTCAACAAACTGTGACACTCCGAAAAGAGGCGTGATCAGATCTAAAACTCACCTCTCCCCGCAAAATAATACCGATTGTAATGAAAAAAATTAAATTAAAATCTTTTAATAGACTACCAACCTATTGTAATAAAATATTATTTATGTGTATAAACAATAAGCATGATTATATTTTTATCATTTAAATGCGTATTTAAAAAAAAAATGAACTCGACATGCCGATGACCTGCAATATTAGATTACACTTATTCGTACATCCTCCGTACTTCATTAACTCGTAGGTACGCTACACATTCGACTTCTTGTCATTATACAACTCCAGTGTAAGAAGATAACCTTAATTGGTAAACTTCGCAAATCGATGAAAATCACATAAAATTCTCTACATTTTTGGTGCTTAGTATTCATTCTTCAATTAAGTTACGAAATTTTACACAAATCAGTTTTCAATGCTAAATGTATTAAGCTGTGCTAATATTTAACACAAAAAAATTTAAAAAAAATCTTCTACGAACAATACTTCACTTGGGAGTTAGTAGCGACTGATGAATTTAAGTATCATAACTATCTTAGTAATAGTCGAAATATCTTA